TGACCTAATTTACCTCCCACTTTGTAAACCGCCTGAAATATGACCTCTGGAGCCCCTGGCTGAAGGAGGTGCCCAATTCCGCCCGGGTCCCATTGACATGCTCAATAGATTGGATATCAGTGTGTGATAAGATTTAGCATATTTAATATTTATTAATGTATTCCTTTCAAAATTTCTTAACATGTAGTAGGATTTTCATACATACCTTCAGAATCTGTGTACTGCAGAGCATTCCTATCGTAGAGATACCAAGTAAAACCATTTCTAAACTATTTGTTCTAGACAAGTTCATTACAATAGCTAAACTACAGAAAACTTCATATCACAGAAACACAATACTTTTCATATGAAAAAGATTGTTGAAGAGTTGATTTTTGCTTAAATAGAATAAAACTGTATGCAGACTATTAATATGAAATTTGGATTACATTAGTATGCACTATTGAAACACTGAAATATGTCAGTTCCTTAATATTTCTACACACAAATTTCTCAAAAATACCCCTAAGTTAGATGAGAATGTTTTGGGTTACCATTGTACCTCAAGGCAGTTTCCAAAAGTGTGGGTAACAATTTTTAGCTTCCTGGAGAAAGCATATTTCTTTCTACAACTTTAAGTTAATTTTGCAATGGTGACACCACTTTTTAATGACAACAATGGGACTATAGAATCCTTTCAGATTTTTTTTTAAGTAGAATACTTAGCCTTCTTTACAAGGAGATGAAAGAGGTTTTTGTGTCATGTGATACACTGAAGAAGGGATGAAATATTTTCACATTCATAAACATTTCATTACTAGGTAGGTGTTTGAGACACCCCAACATAGTAGGATGACATTAGAATCCATACTGACTTCTCTAGGGCAGTGAGACAAAGAAATCTCATTAAATAGCAAAAAAATCTTCTTAATACCAATACTCTAGGATACACTGGGCTGCAAAATGCAAAGGTATCTAACTACATTTACTGAATTCTGATCCATCAGGGCTTAAGTAGTTATACATGATGTCAGATGCTCACGTGCCTCTACAATGCAATTCTGTTTCCTGGAGAGCCCTTTAGCCAGGCAAGGTGAGCACCTTGAAGGGAGCACACATCTTACCCACTCAAGCTAGGATGTCACAGGTTAAGAGAAGTGGCAAGATGCTTCTGCAGAGAAAAGATAGAAACTACTGTGGTGGGGATAAAGACTATCTAGTCATGTGCAGTTATTGGAATAGTTAAATCTAGAATTACAGCATCCTCTTTTGCAATATGCGATAAATGCTACCAAATCTGAGTTTGTGCCACATGGCTCTAAGTATTGCAGGATCAGAAGCTACTGAGATGGATCAGCTCTGCACACAAGAAATACAGAACATAAGAAGACACTGACAGAAAGTTCTCGCTGAATCTGGGCTATGTGCAGCAGTCTCAGTTCTTCTGCAAATTAGATGAACCTTTAAGGATTCAGATTTATATTATAAAGATGCAACATATCAGGAGGCAGCAAGAGAAGGGCTCCTTGCTAAGAGAACATGAGCTAAGAGAGCTCCCACAACTCAAGAGAGCAGCCCAGCCCTAAACAAGGCAGACCCGAAGTGGACAAAGGCAACCAAGAATCACATCCTGAGGCACTATCACGGTGACAAGGCAGATCCAAGGTCAGGCCGGGAAGTCAGTCAATAGACAAGGATAAGGTCCAGCAGTTACCAGGCAGAGGCATAACAAAACCAGGAGTGAAACCAAGCTGAGGAGCTGCCTGAGCCACAGCCATGTTGTGGCTGTACAGGTGATCAGCACTCCTCCAGTGCAACTACAGCAAGAACTGTGAACTCAGGGCTGACCTTCAATAGAGCTCCTGAGCTCACGGCTGTGGGGAGGTCCCAGCTGAGGCTTCTCAGCACCTTTAACACATATTAATGCTCTCAGTGTCCTGACACAGCAGGATTTAGAGGAACCTGGAATTTAATTTATTTATTTTATTTGAAATTCTGTAGTAGAGATTGTAGGACTTTTGCTTTTTTGTTATCTTCCACAAGGAACTTTTGTACAGTATATCTCGTATTAACCAATATTTATCTGGATAGGCATATGAAATTTAATTCAGAGTGTAGAAGGAACTTCCCTGTCCAACAATAGAGTTTTGTTTACCCTTTCAATCAATTACTGCTTGCTATTTACCACAAGAATTTCTGGTTCTGGCAAAGGTAAACAACATAAGGGTTAGCTTGCAGGACAGCTAAGAATACCCTGACATAGGTAACATTTCTACAGACTGAATAATATCTATTGGCTCTTGTTCTGTGACATTTAGAGACTTAAAATTTGCCTCTATTGTGCAGCACTCACCAACAGGAACTATTAACAAAGATTATAAAATAAACTGAAATGTGTGGAGTGAGGACTTGTGGAAGCACACTATGAACTGATCTCACAGAGAGAATGCAAATTTCCATGCACAAAATAACTCACATCTTGAAACCTGTTTTATCCCTCTTTGAGGTAATGAGTAGGATGCCAATGTAGAACAGATAGTCTGATATTAACCTTCGTGTCTTTAAAGTGTGGTGCTTCTGTTAAAAATATGAATTTTGCCACCAATGATCCAGAGCAGACAGTGGCAGATTACGAGTTTGCTACAATCCAAGTCCCATCCTACTCCTGTGTGAGACTAAAACTCTGCTGCAATACAGTAAGTAGAAGAGAAAGAACATGTCACATTTTATAAAAAGTGCAGTGGACTCAGCAGCTCCATGAAGATTTAATAAGATGTTACCATTCAAAGATCCAGCCACAGTAACAGAGGATTAAAATTGTCATTCAGTTTAATTATTCTGCATTTTACCCTCTTTTGACTCAGATATATTTTCTGATTACTTCATTCTCATTTTAAAGACTATGTAGGACTTAAGACTGTGTGAATTTGGATTATGTAAACAAGAATTGCTTTATATTCCTGTTCGTCTCTCAGAAGAATGAAGGCAAGGATGATTTTCACAGGGTTCAACGAAAAGTTCTAAATAACTTAATCTTCATTTTTGAGATCCAGTTAATCTAATAAAGCTACTACTTCAGACTTTTTTCATCATTTAATTGCAAACTCAAAGATTTTACATATTAAATTATATACGTTTTTCACAGCTGAAGTTTCAGAGGAGTATTTTTATATTGACTACAAGTTATAGAGCTGTCATGTTAGCACAAACTAAATGGAGATTTTAATCTTAAACATTAGAGATATGAAATGGAGTTCAAAGCTAATTAGTTGCTCATCTATGACCAAGTTCACATGTCTATATATCTCCCATGGACAGCAATTATTTCATAGATTGTAGGAGGTATATATAGGAATAATATAATATTTTAAATCTGGAAAAGAAGTAATGTAATAACTTTATATTACTACTTTTAACAATAACATACAGCAGCAACAGTAATAATTTTTTGAAACAACTTGTTGTATTGAAACACTGCCAGGAGAGGAGACATTTTAAAACATTAGCTGGAGGGAAAAAAAAAGTTCTGAATTATCAGAGACACAGAACTGCCAGATTGTTTTCTTGTTTTGGGGTTTTTTGGGAATTTTTTTTCATTATTTCTTCAGAAATCTGTGTAAGGTAGACCCTGCTGTTTTGTATCAGTAAGAAAAAGCTTTGAAGCTAAAAAATATTTAACCCCTCTATTTATCATGCTAATGGCAACACATATTGCAAATGGTAACTTTTTCACCATTATTTGAATGTCACTAGTACTTTTAATTGCTTTCTGTTGGGCTTTTCACCTTTCTAAAGTTATCATCTCAAAATGAAAAAAAATCATTATAAAAAAAATCAAAAAAATTAAGTGGAGTTGTCACTTTTGTGTAGTCAAAGTATTCTCATATTCTTCTTTCATTACATATAAATATTTAATCAGTATGCATTTATGTCTCAATAAAAAGCAATGTAGAAAACATGTTTATTTTTTCCATATATCACAAATTAACAGACTATAAGAGCATGAAGCATTCAAAAAGAAATGTGCAAAACAAGTTTGTGAAAAAATCTCTGTCTGCTCATATATGTAAGGCTACACTGGATCTGCCTGTCCCCAGATGACCTCGCTTTTCCTCAAGGTCCCCAGCTTTTTGAAGACCACACGTTGTTCCACTGATGTTTACCGGGGTTGTCTAGGCAACCAGATAAAACAGAGATTTAAAGCGGCCTGCCCTGTCTGTGCTGTGGACTCCAAACTCACATCAAGGAAAGGAGCCCTGCCTGTGGAGAAATACAGCCTGGGGTAGGAGAATCCTCCACATTTTAGCAAATCCTTTCCTACAACTGCTTGTTGTAGCAACAAAACAAAAGACTACTACAATTATATTTTACATAGACATGGTGAGTTTTGATTCAGACTATGGACTGTAATTTTTTTTACTATAATAGAAAATATTAACAAAATTTACATTTCCTTATGATCTCATTGAATTTTTATGTCCAAGAAGTGACAGTGACAACATTACTGAGTGTCTATTTCAATTATAATTGAAAACAGAGACCCCATTCAAAATTAGTCCCCCATTGTGATGCTGTACAAACATATATTAAAAGACTGTGTCTGGACCAGAAGTCTGCAAATTACTCCACTCAGAGTCATCAGGAAAAGAGCAGCAGGCATGGAGCACACACAGGCAGAGATGAACCTGGACAGTGTGTGTATTTCCAAGATTGTAACAAAATCAGTTTCTCCAAATTAAAGCAACACTTTTTCTCTCCAAATGAGAAAGATTACCATCTCTTATCTTTCTTAAATGACTACATTGCATATTTTCCTGTTGCATGAGCAAATTCTACAATTCTTCCTTAATTTTTTTTATCTGTCCTCCTCTCTCCTGCATGTATATGTGCTCCAATTCTCCTGGCTTCATTTTCTTCTCATTATCATTTTCAAACATTTTCTTCTGTTCTGCAGCCCAGCCTTTCTCTTCCCTTCTTCCTTGAAATCCCTGCTGCCACGGAAATCCTGCTCTCCGACACCACTGAAACTTTCAGAAGCCTTTTACTTCTAACTGTGTAGCCCTAAAATTTGTGGATAAAAAAGCACTCTATAAATGGTAAGTATTGGTATTGACTGTGTTATTAATATTTGCATGTTAAAGGATCAATATACAAACCATTTAGCTCCCCCTTCAAGCAGACAATGAATTAAAAGAATATTCCTCTCTTGGCATTTAGAGGGAAGATGAACTTTAAACTGAAGGAGCGCAATTGCAACCTGGATTCAGCATTTCTAAGAAATTATAAGAAGCAGTAATTTACCCAAGAACCATTTCTGACATGTCTTTTGTGCCTATTCAATATACTATCCTATGCTAACTTTGAGGAATGGATATGGTCAATCATACTCTTGTCTCTTCAATAAATTGATGCAATGTTACTGCAGAAATAAAAGAGGATGCAAGAGAAGTATTTTCTTTGAAATAGCTTATGAAGAGTATCAGGCACAAAACTAGAGAACACACCCAGATCCAGTGTTGCAGGAAATATCCTGATGTCACTGATGGCAAAACTTCATTTAAGTATGAAGAAATCAAGATTTCATTTGAGACTTCAGAAAAAATAGTTTCTCATCAGCAATGGCTTTTTTGGCCTTTTCCCGTGCTTGTGTGCTCAGGGGATCAGAAATCTGGTTTGTCCTCTCAGTAATGATGAGGAAAGGCCCTGACTGATTTAGACATGCCTTCATTTTTGTTCAACACTCTCAGTGAAAATTAAGATCTAATGTATGGAATATCTGGAGGAGGCAAGGGATGCCAAACACCACCAAAATGTGCTTCTGAATTCCATTGGTTTGTGAACTCTTACAAAATAACGATTCTGGTGGTAAATCTGCAGTACAGTGAAGGGAAAGAGCAAGTAAATGGAATAGGGTGGCAAAAAGAGGGCAAAGCAAATTGTGACACTAAAGGCACATAAAGCCTTTGGAAGATAGAAAAGAGCAATTTTTGGGAGGAAAGGAAATAAATTTTTTAGCAGTATAAAAAAAGTAAAACTAGGAGGAACAAAAAATATGTGATTAAATCACAAGACAACTTTTACTGTGATAAAGTAGATGGAAAGGAAGATATCTGAGGAGAAATATCAAAGGACAAGCTTTGCTATCTAGCTACTTCAAGTGATCTAAACATATAATGCCATCACCTCTGAGTTAAAATGTTGCACCTGAGCATAAGAAATAAATACAGATGTTATCCCCAAGACAGTCAGATTTCCATGCATCCTCTGTTAGAGACCTTGGTTGATTCATTTTACCTGAAATTATTTGAAAAGAATTACAGCATTGGAAATGAGAAATGCTTGAGGATAATTTTTATATGTAGACATTTATTGGCTAATATATTACTTGGGGATGCATCTGCTCTTTGAACAAAAAGAATGGCATTCTTTCTTGTAAATGTGATAGTTAAAATCCTAATACTTAATATCAATTTAAAAGCCCTGTCTTTCACATTCATGTGCAAAAACTGTATTTCACATTATTCCCATTTTTTAAAATGGATTTAAAAAATAAAAGCTTCACTGGAAGCATTACATTTATTTCAGCTATTATTAGAAAATTATGTCTATATTTCAGATGTGAAACTGAGTTTAGAGAAAATCTGGCTTGGACTAACTGTAAATAGAAGTCAAAGTTCTCTGTTTCATGCGATTAAAATAATGCTTGAAAATACTCAACTTCTCTTTCTTAGTCAATCAGACATACATCTATCAAATATACAAAATATCTACTAATATCAAAGCATAGTCTGACAATGGCTTCTCAGACTCAGGAGTTGAGAGGAAAAAAACTTATACTGACATTTGCATTCCAACCACTTGAAATAACCACTTTCTCTTTGTGCTAATGAGAATTAATAAGTTCTTCTTGGCATGCACTGTAGATATTTCTCCTTTTAGCTTTGTGAGTCAAAGACAAACCAAAAGAAATCCAAAAATAGTAAATAAACTTTATAAGCTATTTTTGGCTGCTTTTTTTTTTCATATGTGAAGTGGTTTTTACTCTTTTTTTCTTGCATGGATTTTTTTTTCAATAGATTCACACCTATGAATATGATACTATAATTGTTTATTCTTATTATTTCTCCTAAAGAAAGGTTACTGGTCTAAATATTCTTTTAGACATTTCACTTTCTGGCTTGTAAGTGTAAGAAAAAAGCATTGCAGGCACCTGACCAAGGAACATCTACTGAAACCCTCTGAGCCTGGAATGACCACTCATTCATAGCACAAGCGATGAAAAAAAAATTGAAGCATTTAAAGGCTCAAACTCTGGAAATACCAGAAACTACTGGAAAAGAAGGCAAGAACACTTCAGTGTACATCTGGAAGCATTACATGTTATTTAAAAGCTAGTCTATCAGAAGAAGGTTTTCCTTCTGAAAATAGCAAGTGCTGATGCATTTGGCATATTTAACACTTCTCAGGAATCCAAGAAAAGGAGGATATTCATGAAGCTGTTACAAAAAATGAGGAGTATTGCCTTCTAAATAAAAATGAAGCATATTAAAATTGTATGCTTCGGTCTTGAATGTTTAAAAGTGTCTTCTGCTTTATAAGATTGGGATGACAATTTTATCTGCTAGAGGTGTATGATAAAGCATGGTATCACCCTGCCATAGCATAAGATCTATTGAAGATTTATAGATTTAAAAAAAAAATTAAAACCCTTCCAACTTTAAAAAGCCGCTGGTTTTTGACAGAAAGTGGAGCAAATAATACAGAAATAGACTCGTGTGAGAAGCAGACTCCAGATGAGGCAATTTAGAATCTACCAAGAAACTAGTACTTGAATAAGTGTTGGACTGGACAGTGCTTAGGAACCTTAGATATTACCAAAAGCCGAAAATACCATAAGATAAAGATATCAGAGGCAGAAAAACACCCAGAGCTTGAATTCCTGAGCAAGGAATAACAACACAAATAAAGCAGATGGAAGATGATTAACATTAAGCAAAAGCTTGTATTCATTTTTCTTCAAGTGCCAGGGATTTGAACCATGAAGAAGCTGCATGTTGCTGCCTTGGATGATTGTTTTCTTTAGAATAAAAACACTTGCAGCAAAAGGTGATGTGTGCAGAAGGAATAATAAACATAAGAGCAAATGGGACATACAACCTTCAGTTAGGCCTACGTATATGCACAGGTCCTAGTGTTTCTAGGAACTGTGCTGTAACTGAGATAAAAACAGCAGGTTGTAGAAAGATAAAGGGGTAAAAATACAGGCTTATGAAAGTGATTTTTTTCTGTTTAAAAATGTGTTTCTAGAAATAAAAAATAAATCAGAAAAATCATCTTAGACTCTTTTCCTATTTTTAGATGGAACTACTAAAGATATTACAGCAGAAGAGCAGATTATGCATTAAGAACCTTTTTAGCTAGACATCTTTAACCAATACAGTGATATGTGACAGACGGACACAATTTACAGGACATACATTTGAGCAGAACACAGTGAAGACTAGATTTAGATGTGAGACTACTAGTTCCTCATCATTACTCACTTATTGGGTGCAAAGTATGTAGGAAAGCTTGCTGTACTCCTTGAACTTTCCCAGCTAGAATTATAATGACCTTCAGATAACCCAGCATATTTCACTACCAAAGTGATTTAGGCTAAACTGAATTAAGGCCATTTTTAATTCTGAAGAAAAATAGATACCGAGGCATTTAATATCACTTAGTCTACTTTAAACTAACAGCTGTAATTAACTTGGAGATCTCTCTAGAAAAGACCTAAAAAGATAAATTTAAAAGACCATTATTTTGTTTTTTGTTCTTAATCTTCTTAATTCAGTAGAAGGTTATTCACAGTCTTAATATACAATAAGAACAAACAATATAATATTGATCACCTCTCAATTATGGTAAACATGCAAGTAATTAAGACAACTACCCTGAAAGTAGCTTACTATATAGTTTTTTAAACAGCTATGCATTTTTAATAACTTTGACTACACAAGCAGTATTTCTATTCAAATCTGTGGGAGCAAACTAAAATCAAATGTCAGACAAGTATACCATCAACGCTAACTTATATTTCATTCCTGCTAGAGATCACATGCAGCAGTATAAATATGTTGCTAAACTACTAAAATTACAAGAAAAAAATGTGACATTTTTTGTTTGCTTTCCTCTACTCAATATGTACAAAATCAACTTTTCAGAAGTGTAGCAAATAAATATAAAATATCTTACAAGGAATTTTTTTTCAAATGAGCTGATGGCAGCCAGATACCCACAAAACAATCACAAAGCCAGTTACAGAAACAAGTCGGTATGAATTTTCCATAACAGTAATTTGCAATTTCTTCCGAATCATAAATTTACAGGAGTATCTTCAACAAATACGGAATAATCTGCAGAACAATTATAAGCAACTAAAAAAAGTGTTGCTTGGTTGACAGCAAGAGACTACGCCCACTGCCAAATGATCATAGAAGATAAAGGCCAAGAACTGAGCAGCTGGACTTGCCCATTAAGGCAGTCTGTAGCTTATCTCTGAAAAAAACATGTCAGTTCTGCAGGACATTGACCTCAACACAGCACCTGCCACCTCCTCTGGTGAATTAAAATATAGCCATAGAAAATTTGATCAAATGCTCTTTTGTAGGGAGCAATACTGACAGCAAAAGCATAGAACCTATTTTGTTAAACTAGGTCTAAAGCATCAGAAAAAAACCCACCGTGCAACTTTATGGGTCTTGAGAGGCTTGTGGTGAACTGTAGGTAAAAATCAATAAGGAAATATATAAACTCTTTCCTTCTATGTTTACACAACGTTTTTTTGACCAGTGGGTATCTTGGGAAATATTTGGGAAACATCTAATGCCAAGAAAGAAAGAAAGGGTGGCAGTGGTGAAGTATTGGCTGCTGGTGTAAATTTCTTTAGAGCTTTTTGCTTTAAGTCTAGCTAGTCACGCTGAAGGAAGCCCAGGTTGCCCTTAGTTAAGAGTCCTTCCGAACTAAAATGTCCTTCAAAATTGTGACATCCATGGTATGCCAAACACTTTTCTGAGGCTCCAGATTCCATTGGGATTCCCAGTTGAAGGGCATCAAAGAACATTTTTCAGGAGATCTGGCAGAGCAAGTCCTTGGCCAAGTTGCTTTCATTTCATAGTGGATTCAGGGACTGTCAATCTCAGATATTGTAGAAACATGATGTAAGTCCTTTCATTTTTCTCTGAGTGGGTGGGTCTTCAACTGGAATGAATTTGGCATCAGTAGATTAAGCCTTCCCTGCAGAAGGATGTAGTTTATTGCTGTCTGCATAGCTAGTACAGGGAGCAGTGGAAATTGCTGTACTCCTGCTTTCATCCTTTCCCTTAGCACATCTACATGACATAATTGATATATTCTTGGCAGGTCTGAAATTATGCTGCAGTGATGA